GAGGATGAGGATGAAGAAGAAGAAGAAGAAGAAGAAGTAGGATGAAAATAAGAAGAATTCCAGTCCAGCAAAAAGTGTCTCTGCAGAGAGCTCCGCTATTTCTGACAGTTCTCTGACAGAAACTTTGACATTTACAGCGGTTTGAAACATTGTATCTATTTGTTTCCGAATAAAAAACATCTGTATCCTAAATGGAAACAAATAGATACATTGTTGCCACTTCTATAAATGTCAAGGAACTGTCAGAGAACTGTCAAAGAAATAGCAGAGCTCTCTGCAGGGAAACTTTTTGCCGGCTCTAGACGGGTAGAAAATCGGCCGATTTTTTTTACCATTGATGGTAACGTCGGCCACTTGAACAACCGATTTTCGTTTTTTTAAAAGAAAAATCTGCAGTTTTTCTCCCCATCTATGGCCTGCATAAGTATCTCTCTATTGATTTAAATAAATGGTTTGGTATGACCTCTGTTCTCCTCCATGCAATCTGATGATCCTTGGAATCACTGAACCCGGAAGTCGGTGTCCTGCTGTTGCCACTGATGAATGTCTGGAGGTCGGTTAATGACATGCCTGGTTGATCTCTGCGGAGGTGATCGTTAATATTTGATAAGAAGCCAACCTTACTAGTGAAGGACACGAGTGTCTTGGTGGTCTAACATATATTTGTGGAGTCAGTGGCTAGTTGAATGCTTTCACTGGTTCCTGGACTTTAGGAGGTTTGTGCATCACTGATGTTTTCACTTGAGGTTTGTGGACTTTTATTTGTGTGGATGCGCATTCACATGTGTATATACACCGCTCCAAAAAAAAAAAAAAAAAAGACACTTTGAAAACCCATCAGATCTCAATGGGGAGGAATCTCCTGCTGGATCTCTATACTCACATGGACGGGGGAGGAACATAAGGACGTCCCATCGTTTGATGGAAATGAAAATGATCGACCTACAGAGGACTGAATTCACAGACACCCCAAAAATAAAAGTAGAGAAATGATGCAGCAGGCGAGTCCATTTTGCTGAAATTTCATTGCAGAAACTCAGAATGGTCCTCAGTAATTTTTATGTCCCCCACATGCTTATATGCATGTTTGACAACATCGGGGGAGACTCCTAATGAGATGGACAGATGGCAACCAGTGTAGGGTCTGACAATGGGTCCAAGGATTTCATCTCAATACCTAATGGCAGTCAGGGTGCCATTGTCTAGCCCAGGGGTGGGCAAACTTTTTGACTTGAGGGCCGCAATGGGTTCATATATTGGACCCGGGGGCCGGACCAAGAGTAGATGAATGATGTGTATGTGTCATCCATAGTAAGCATAGTAATTCATCCCCCAGTATAGTAATTCATCCCCCCTATAGTAATTCATCCCCCATATTAAGTCCCCCCTGTGTCAATTCACTTACCTTTGCTCTGCGCGTTCCTCTCGCCGTCTTCCCACGCCGTTCCGGTGTAGCATGAAAATCTGTCTCCTATGAGGCGGTGTCCCCCTCGACGTATCTGCACATGTGCCAGTTTCAGGCATTAGCAGCCGATCTCCGGCACATGCGCAGATACGTCGAGGGGGACAGATACTCGTAGGAGATTTTCATGCTACACCGGTCTTCAGGGCAGACTGTGAGAGGAGCCTAGCTCCGCGGGCCGGATTAAAAGGTCCGCCGGGCCGTAGTTTGCCTATTGCTGGTCTAGCCTGTACAGGTCTGTCCGTCCCTCTATGGCGATGTCTCCCCAGACCATCACTGACCCACCACCAAAACAGTTGAATCATGTTAGAGGCAGCAGAACATTCTCCACAGCGTCTCCATACCCTTTCACATGTGCTCAGGGTGAACCAGCTCTCATCTGTCAAAAGCACAGGGTGTCAGTGGTGGACCTGTCAATGCTGGTGTTCAATGGCCAATGCCAATCCAACTCTATGGTGCCGGGCAGTGAGCACAGGCCCACTAGTGGACGTTGAGCCCTGATGAAGTCTGTTTCTGATTGCTTGGTCAGAGACATTCACACCAGTGGCCTGCTGGAGGTCATTTTGTAGGCCTCATCCTGTTCCTCCTTGCACAAAGGAGCAGATACAAGTCCTGCTGGTGGGTTAAGGACCTTCTATGCCCCTGCCCAGCCCTCAGAGGAACTGGCTGTCTCCTGGAATCTTCTCCATGCTCTTGAGACTGTGCTGGGAGACACAGCAAACCTTCTGGCAATGACACGTATTGATATGCCATCCTGGAGGAGTTGGACTGCCTGTGCAACTTCTGTAGGGTCCACGTAGGGCCTCATACTACCAGTACTGACGTTACAATCAGTCAAAACCCCTGCTTCTCCAAACCACACCCCTTAAATTTACATATAGTTTGGACCATGTGACATAGCATTTAGTTGGTATTGTTTAAAGTTAAATCTGTACACAGGATTCTAAACTTTCCATCTGGAGCAAGAAAAGTGAGCTAAAAAGATCAGAAACATTTCTATTGTTTTACTAGAAATCTAAGAAATCAGACTATGCACTCAGAATGTAGCATTACCACCCTCTGTTACAGTGTACCTTCTAAAAGTAATGCAACAAACCTCCAGCAGGAGGGCGCTTATGCAGCAATTCTATCCACTACAGCAAGGGTGTCAAACTGGTGGCCCTCCAGCTGTTGCAAAACTACAAACACACCCCATCATGCCTCTGGGAGTCATGCTTTTAACTGTCAATCTTGCAATGCCTCATGGGGACTTGTAGTTTGGCAGCAGATGGAGGACCACCAGTTTGACACCCGTGCTCTACAGCAATCAATACAAAGTCAGAGCCAAATAAAGATAAGATGATCAGGCACAATAGAGCCCATCGGATTTTATTTGATATGTGGATGAAAGTCATTTCTAGTACTGAGCAAAGCACGGGTATGTGAGCAGCAAGGATGCAGATTGGAGAAGGGTTAATAGGAAACCTCTTCATCCACCGTGTCCATATCCAGTCTACGAAATGGCAACATGGGACAGGCGGCTCCTCCATTGCTGGAATCTTCATTTAAGCCTGATGGACTTGAACTGGAGGTTTTTTACTTCGAAATAGGAGACAAAATCTATGGGAAAGCGGACTGGAAATAAGAGCGGATTTAACCGAGGTAATTGGATGGTGATCTTGTCTTGTTGAAACTGGAAGCAAACCTGTAAAAAGATGGCAGGGTCATCAATGAGTGTTGGCAATAGAGACCAAGATTCTACAACCAAACCATCCACTTCAACAAAAATCTTTCCATAAGATGAATTCTTTATATTGTTGCAGATAATGGTGAATGAAGGGGGGGGGGGGGGGGGGGGGGGGGGGGGGGGGGGGAAATGTGCTTCTGTGCTGCAATGCTGTAGTGACAGGGTCTGAGGATTGTGTATCCATCACCTGGAACACTGACTGGACCCTCCAGGAGGTCAATAGCTCTTGACCAGTTTGGAGTCCTGGTCTGCTAGCCACCCTCACTCAGGGTTCCTTCAGGTTTCTAAGGGTTCCTTGAGGCAGTGTTTATTTAATCTCTACCCAAAAAAAACCCACTCCCCTTTCCAGGGGCCCCAATACAGATCTGTCCTGATCAGAGTCCCATCTGCCATTGTTCTAGCCATGGCTCCAATTCATGTATGTCCTTGACAGGGGTCCCATCTACTATGACTGACCAAGCGAGAATTGTTGGCAAGTGATTATTCTGGGTCGGTTTTCTCTTCATCTACCCCCATAAAGAGAACGAAGCCTTGGCAATTTTTGAAAAATCTTACACCCAAAGAATAGCATTCAGTAATATCCATTACCTGTACGCCTCCCAAATACCCACCATTGGCATGTCCTCCACATCCCTCCCCTCAGCACACATTGTTCTCCAACAGTTTGTAGCATGACTCCGAGGAACTTCAGTTCCCAGCCAACCCCCCACTACTCCCAAGATGGAGCCATTACAGGGACTTTAGTGACATCCAAGGTTAATAAGAGGCAGAAACGAGGATCAGGAAATCCCTGTCATTTAACATGCGTACACAAAATAGAAAGGAAAAAAAAATTCACAAGCTGATAATTCTGAAAAATCAGTGATCTGACCTACAGCCTGGGGCGTATTTACCACAAGGCAAACAAGGAATTTGCCTAGGGCAGCATTTCAGGGGGGGCAATGCTGTCCCCCAAAAGGGATATGCAGCATGGGGACCAGGCAGGTTCTGAGATAGGCTGCAGGTTGCTTGGTGTATGCAGAGCCCAAACTTTTGCTCCTGGGATGTCCAGAGCTGAGAAGGGGAGAGTCCTCCCGCCAGGGTGGGGGGGAGGTTGCCACTGTATGGGGGTAGTGGAATGTTCTTGGGCAGGGGGTGTTGGTCCCCCAACCACTCCATCCCCCACAGCCAATTACCTCTTGTACCACTATCCCCTCCCTCCGAGATTGTAAGCTCCAAGGATCAGGCCCTCTAATCCCTCTTATTGAGCTGTACAGTCTCCCTCCATAATGTAAAGTGCTGAGCAAACTGTTGGCGCTATATAAATACTGTATAATAAATTATAATTATGTCAGGCTCTTTGTGAGGGAGGGGGGTGTTGATTGGTGTCAGGGTATCAACATGGTGGGGGGGGTGCTGCTTTCTGTGTTGCCTAGAGCAGCACAAAACCGAATACATCACTGCCTACAGCAACCATTTTCTAGGTGGTACATCATGGCATACAATGGCAGCTTGGTGGAATCCATTGGATCTTCCTATGTGGGAGGTTCTCCATGGAATGAATGACCATCATAGCAGATTCTATATATCCTTGACCCAAGTCACAACTGACTACCTATTGCATTTTTCAGAGATGGAGAATATGGGGTTGAATTACTAAAAAAGGCCGTTGCTCGAGGTTAATAAGTGAGCAGACGCTTTGCTAACTTCTGTCACCCAATCCCATGCAATCAAAAAGGCTGTTTCTTTTCCTTGTGTGTGATTGGGTACTCTGAAAAGTGAAGCTTTTCCTCATTTACCATGTCCTGGAGCAACTACATGGTCTATTTGCCTTTAGTAAATCACCCCTTGTTTGTCCAATATGAACAGGGATGCCTCTCTGCCCCATCCAACATTTTTCCCACCCCCCCCCCAGTGTAGACTTACCGTGGTGTTGGACCCCTCCTTGAAGGGGAAGTAGCTTTGCCTCTGCTCCGTTCCCCAGATACCATTCATCACAGAGTTAAGGATGGTCTTGTGCTGGTCTCCATGGGAGTCAAATCGAGGATTAAAGCGTAGCACTAAATTCTTTTCATCCGTTCCTAAATCTATGAAAAACCTAGAAAGACAAGGCAATTCTGCTCAGCTGACCTTGTTGGATGTAGTACTTGAGTCATTCTCCAGTGGTACTCCCATGGGTTTCAGAGGTACTTCTCCCACTTTATATATTCAGTAATTTGCTATTATGCATTATTAAAGTACATCAGCTATTATGGGAAACCGTTTTCTTGGAAAGCTTGGCCTGGTAATAAATGCCCAATACCAAGAAATATCTAAACTGAGCCTGTAGCCTGGAAATTGATAGACTGTTACATATTCTTAACAAGTGGTAAGATTTAAGACAACCCCTCACCAACATATGTAGTTGCAGCCACTGTGGAATTCATCCTAAGCCCCGGTTCACATATGCAGCGACGTTTAGCGTGGGCACAAGGGCCCATTCTTTTGGCTTTGCTCCCGTGCTCCATGACATGCAGGGAAGAAGTTCCTGCACTTCCGAAAACGCAGCCGAGGTTCCCAGTACGGTTGTGTTTTCCAGCGCGGGCCATTAGAACCAATGGCACCCGCCCACAGGTCCTGTGCAGTTGGTGTGGCCGCATGGATTTTCATGTGGATTGCAGCGGCACCACCCGCACAGATGTGAACTGAGCCTAAAAAGCTCACAAGTGAAATGGTGAAGTCATTCAGGTCTGGTCTTAGCTCTCCCATTCTACTAATGAGAAAGAAAGGCAATCGAGCTAGTGCTGGGAGGAGTCACTGTTGAGAGAACAGAGCGATCCAAGCAACTTCTGAATCACTGGGGAGAAGCAGGAACATGGATAAGGAATCACTCCGGTGAGGTAAGCGGAGCTGCTGCGAGATAAAGAGCAGCTACCACCGGTTTGTGCCCTTTGACTCCGTTGCCATTCCAGGGGTGCTTGGACCTATAACTAGGTAGGCAGTAGTAATGAAGGGATTTCTACTATAAATTGAAGATGCATTACTCCACAGTGCCTATAGCTACACAGGTTACTGGGGTCAAGGAGGACAGAAAGACAAAAAAAAGACAGACTGTATGTCAGTTGCCATTTGATATGATGGGCCGCTTAGACAAGTTCCATCCAGGTTGGCATTTGTCACAATGGAGAAGCACAAATGTTTGAGCTAAACAATTTCAGTTGTACTTTTGGTAAATTGTATTATACAGAGAACAGACGTATGTTGCATAATGAGTAGCCGAAATTAGAACCACGACTTACGCTTTACAGTCCTCCGGAATGAAACCCTCCAACTCCACAGAGCGACCAGGTTCGAGGATGAAGTTCAAGACAAAACTCTGGGAAGGAAAAAAAAAAAAAAAAAAAAAAAAAAAAAAAAAGGGAATGATTACTTCACAATAGAGAGGATTACACCCTGCATAACAGGGGGAGGATTATTACACATTGTATATGGACAGAAGACGTCTCATGGTTGGAGTTACTGTACTTGGGTTAAAAGAGCAACTTGCTTGAAGCCTTTGTGTGGGAGAGTGGAGGGAGCTCAGACATTTCCAGCAGATCACAAATGTCTAATGGCAGAAGGACTTGACAAAATATACATTTTCTCTTACAAAGTTCATATTATGCATGTTGGCCACCCAGACCTTCATATAAGGTAGTGTCCTATCTACAGACAGCCAGATGGTGCCAGATACTGACCAGCAAAAGGCCTGCCCAGCATTCATGTTTATCAAGAATGATGTACTTGGTGTGAATTGTATTCTGGTCAGCATATTCATTTATTGTTCTGTATATACATATCTGAACTATGTGAAGTAGCCCCCCCCCCCCCCACAGCTTCCATCATGAATGGAAAGAGCTACCAATCTGGCACAATGAATCAAGGATGGACATGTCAACTCAGAACAGGACCATTATATTTATAAAACTGCATAGCAAAGGGTTAATATAAATACACACAAAGCAGCGCTGAGAGACGATAAAGGTAAATCTAATGTGGGGACTAAATGTGATTATGCAAATAGTGAACCATCATATGATGATGCATGTGAACGTAATAAATATAAAGTGACTGAAGTGTAGGACATAAAATCAGCAAGATATAAAAGTCCAAAATTCAAAGTGATCCGTGCTGGTGATATCCGTGATGGGAGACCGATAATGTGATTGCACTCAAATGAAGCACAAATGTATAGAATTATCCCATTGTGGTCATCAGGGTGTAGGCAAGAATGGTGGAATCGTCTGGCACTCTGTTAGCACACAAGGTAATTCCAATCTCACTCACAGGCCCCCTTCCAATCTCACTCACAGGCCCCCTTCCAATCTCACTCACAGGCCCCCTTCCAATCTCACTCACAGGCCCCCTTCCAATCATCCAGGGACAGCTCTAGGTAAGCATCAGACCACCAGATAAACTCCTCAAAGAAATGGGGATCTCTCCACCTTGGAGGCAACTGCATTCAACAGGTGACCTGTAGCATGACCAAAACAGAGGAACCATCTGTTGGATGCAATTGCCTCCAAGGTGGAGAGATCCCCATTTCTTTGAGGAGTTTATCTGGTGGTCTGATGCTTACCTAGAGCTGTCCCTGGATGCTGGGAGAGTCCTGTAAGTGAGATTGGAGGGGCCTGTGCAGGAGATTAGAATTACCTCGTGTGCCAACGGAGCGCCAGATGATTTCACCATTCTTGCCTATACCCCAATGGGATAATATATACATATGCGCTTCTGGTGAGTGCAGTCACATTATTGGTCTCCATCACGGATATCACCAGCACAGATCACTTTGAACTTTTATATCATACACTTCAGTCACTTTATACATTCATAACATTCACCATTATGTGACGGGTCATTATTTGCATAATAATCACCTTTAGCGCCATTTAGTGCCCATGTTAGATTTATCTTGATCATCTCAGTGCTGCATTTTGTATATATAACTGTTTAAAGGGTAAGAGGTTTCACCTTTAATGCCAGCAGCTTTACAACCTTTGCACTCACTTTGGCCATTTACATTTCTAGTCAAAATATATAAAGAGATGAGGAGGCATGGAAACAAGGAGTCACTAAAAGCAAGTGTGGGGGAGAGGAGTGTCTTCAATATATACCCAATACCAGGGGTGGACTGACAACTCATGGGGCCCCCAGGCAATATGGGATCATGGGGCCCCTGTGTCCTTGCCCAAACAAAAAAAGCCTATGAAAATAGGTACCAGGGACATCTCATGGAGACCCCTACTGACCCCGAGCCCTCAGACAGTGCCCGAGTTTCCAAATGGTCAGTCCACCACTGCCCAATACTAAGAACATCCAGGAAACCATCACAGAAGCCATTTGCTCAGCTCTTGCAGCTTCCACCAGTGCCCATACATATACCTCCACCACCAACATCAAACCAGCCCAACACACAACTTGTGTCTACACCAAGCAAACCAATACTCACCACACTACACACCCACCATACACCCCCCACAGAAGCCATTCGCTCAGCTCTTGCAGCTTCCACCAGTGCTCATACTCACATTATCTGCCATCCTGCTTCCTTATCAGAGACACTTGTGATCAGCTGCTCTTCTACTTCTTCTTATATAGGAGGTCTGCTGAGGGTGGAGCCAGTCAGGAGGGAGGGATCACTCCGCCCACTGCTCCCTGGACTGACAATTGTTCCAGAACCGCTCATTACAGAGAATGAATGAAATGTGGATCCGCTGTGACTGAGCATGGGTCGTCCATCGTCACTCTGCTGGGATGTCACCACTCACCACAAACAGCAAGGGGGCAAAAGAGGACTATCCTCAAAGTCATTTCTACACCACAAAGGGGGAGATTTCCTAACACTGGAGGGTGCAAAATCTGCTGCAGCTGTGCATGGGAGCCAATCAGCTTCTCCCTTCAGCTGCTTCAATGAAGCTTTGACAGGGAAACCTGGAAGCTGATTGGTTTCTATGCAGAGCTGCACCAGATTCTGGACTCTCCAGGTTTAGGAATTCAACCAAGTCCAAGTGGTCCATCGAGTCTGCATCCTTTTTTAAATGTTTCCTTGTTTATTTATTTATTGGTAAGTGTGTTGTCTGAGTATAGATCTATGTTTGACCCCAGGGGCATGACTGACAACCCCTGACATCACATGGGGCCCCATGGCAATAGGGGATCATGGGACCCTCTGTCCTTGCCATAAACCCAAAAAAGCAAACAAAAATGAAAAAGGTACCAGGGCATCTCATGGAGGCCCCATACTGACCCTGGGCCCTCGGGCAGTCCTGACTCTTTATTTTGCCAGAGTTTCCAAATGGTCAGTCTAGCCCCTGGTTTGCCCCAAGCATGTCTGAAGCCACTTACTGCTGACTGACTCACTACCTCTGCTGGAGGTCTATTCCAACCATCAACTACCCTTTCAGGAAAATATGACTTTCTAAGATGAGTTGGGAACTTTCCTCCAGTCAGTTGGAGGTCATGTCCCGTGTTCTTCATCTTGGCTTCATACTGAACATCCTGCCCTCCAGAACCTAATCCCCCCTAATGTATTGAAAGGCTTTGGTCATGTCCATCCTTTCCCTTCTTTCCTCCAGACTGTACATATGAAGTTCCTGCAGTCTCTCCTGATATGTTTGATCCCTCAGACCTTTCACCATTTGTGTTCCCCGTCTCTGGACTCGTTCTATCTCATCAGTGTCTTTATGTAAGGCTTAGCTCACACCTATGCAGTTTGACACGTGATCCGTTTGTGAGTGCGGGGGCATTTTGCGTTTTTGAAATTTGGAAGCCCCCAGATCCCTGCCTTCCCCCATGAATAGGTATGGGGTACATAATTACACCTACTCATACAACAAGAAAATTCAAAGTCAAAAACACAACCAGTATAGGAAAAGTCTTTTATTCAAAAAAAAAAAAAGCCTCCCAAGGTAGATCCCATGTCAATCTCGAATGCCGTCTGGCGACCCAAAAAAATAATGTCAAACCCGAACCCGCAC